ACCAAGTGGAGTTTGTCCAAGAAATGTAGGGATGGTTTAACATTTGAAAAATCAATGTAATTTACCTTAAATTAAGAAATTTAAAAACCATGATCATCTCAATTGACATAGAAAAAGTATTTAACAAAATATGACATTTATTTCCTAAGCCTAAATGTAAAATCTAAAATTATAAAACTTCCAAAGAAAAACATAGGAAAAAACCTTTGTAACTTTCCATTAGGCAAAGCTATCTTAGATATAACAAGAGTGATGCATGAAGGAATAAATAAATAGGATTTTATCAAAATTTAAAACTTCTGCTCTAAAAACAAACAAACAAAAAACACCATTAAGAGTCACAAACCTAGAGAAAATATTTGAAAATCATTTATCTGATGAAGGATTTGTATACAGAATACATGGAGAACTTTGAAAACTCAATAATAAGAAAACAACCCAATAAAAATGCATAAGGGATTCGAACAGACACTTCTCTAAAGAAGAGAGATAAATTGTAAATAAACACACACAAAAATACTCAACATCATTAGTCATTTAAAAAATGCAAATTAAAACCAAAATGAGATACCACTGCATACCTGTTACATGGCGAAATAAGATGGACCGTAATATTGGCAAGATGCAGAGGAACTGAAACTCTCCTCTAAAGCTGATGGGAATACAAAATGGCACAACCACTTTGGGAAACAATTTGTCAGTTTCTTGAAAAGAAAAAGGGATGATCCAGGCATTTCACTCCTATGTATTTACCCAAGAGGAATAAAAGCCGTTTAGTGTCCTTTCAAAGGTTTGTATGTGAATGTTCAGAGCTCTATTCGTAATCGCCTAAAACAGGAAACAACTTAAATGTCCACACCACTCTGTGATAACAAGGAATGATTCTTGCTACACAATAATGTACAGTATGGATGAATCTCGAAATAATTATGCTGAGTGAAAGAAGCCAAAAACAAACCCAAAAACCCCCCACCATATTGTTTAATCCCACTTACATAAAATTCTAGGATATGCAAACTAACATGAAGTGACAGAAAGCAGAATGGTGGTTTTGTGAGGGTGGGGAAGAATTACAAAAGGCATGAAAAAAAACACACAAATAAATCAAACAACCCATTCAAAAGAAAGAAGCCACCCTGGATTCCGCAAGCACTTTACCTGAATGGAACTAGTGGCTTTTATTTGAGACTAAAGGCCCGATGCACAAAATTCGTGCAAGCGTAGGCCTTCCTTCCCCTGGCTGCTGGCACCGGCTTTCGGCTTTCCTCGAAGCCCGGGCTTTGTCTGGAAGGACGTCGATCTAATTACCATATTACGCTTTTGTTATTATAGATAAGCTGAGGTCTGGCTGTAGTGTGTACACTTTTTCTAAATATTTTCCCTTGTGTTATTTTTAAGATAACAGGATTAAATAGTGCTCACTAATATATTGTGACAACTGGCAAGCACACAGAGGTGAACGTGAGAGAAAGCCATTCACACTTCCAGGGCACCTTGCTGACACCCAACAAGCAGCGACAGAGGCAGAAAACATCGCCAGAGACACAGTGACAGCTTTGTAAGAACCCCGAAATGGCACACAACAACAAAATGTTTCTGGAACTCTTATTCATGTTTCCATATAAGAAATTCTAAGATGTCTATGAAAGGAACATGTTGCATCTCGTGTTGGACATTTTTACATCCGAGTGTCACGTGTACATTTACCATGTAGTCGCACTGAAGCAACGTCACAGGGGAAATGTGGACGGTATGTTCTCTGTAAGTCCATTCATCCGTACATTCGCTCCCATTCCTTCCACCCATTTATCTTTTTCCTGTTGCCACGCACAAACCTGGGGATAACCACCACCCATGCCAAATGGTGGGAATATGGTAACTGGTGTCTGATCATGGGACATGGCACTTTTAAATAGTCACTTTCCACTTTATAATACATATTTATTTTTTAAATGTTTTTATTTATTTTGGATAGAGAGATAGAAACATCAATGAGAAAGAAACATCGTTAACCATGTATATGCTACTTTAACTCCTAGATTTTAAAAGAGAGAACGCAATGTATGTGGGATAGGGACCATTAGCAAGCATTAATTCATCAAAGCTCTGTACTGGTTTAAAAAAAAAAAATTGCAACCCATTAGGTCAAGTGTCCTTTATGAAACAAATAATCTTAAAATAGAAGGCCTAGCTAAAGGTCACTATCAATCTATCTGTCTGCCAAAATGACTTCCTGGTTAATATGAGTAAAGACTGAGTTTTTGAAATATCATATAATAAGTCTACAGGAAAAGGAATGATTCTTTGCTGTATTGAGAAACACACACCATGTGTATCATCCATGTATGAGTTGTTGGTGTCACTTTACAGAAAGTGGTAACAGGTGAAGGAACCAATTTGGGACATTCACATACTGTTTCTTACAAGCTCATAATACTGAAAACAACACAAGAAATCGGTTCAGTTTGGTCTCTACCCATTCGGTAGACCTGAGCCACGCCGTCGCACTAAATGGGTGGCTTATTGTTGCTCCGTCCCCCAACCAACTCCACACAAAGTAAAAAAGGAGAGACTCAAGCAAGAGCAAGTGTCACTCCTGTTGCCCAGTGACACTGATGGCTGCTTCAATTACTAGCAAGCCGGTATGTGCAGGACCGTTTTCTACAGGCTGCTAAAATACAAGAGAAAAGTTATCTTGGGAAAGCAATGACCCTGATGTCTATGCTAAAGGACCCTCACGTGTGTGCAAAGGGAGGCACGTGCAAAGATGCAAGAGCAGCTGTGTTCATGATAAAGAGAAGTCAGGCCCAGCTGGCAGGGCTCAGTGGCTGAGCGTCCACCTAGGAACCAGGAGGTCATGGTTCGATTCCCAGTCAGGGCACGTGGCTGGGTTGCGGGCTTGATCCCCAGTGTGGGCCCTGCAGGAGGCAACCGATCAATGAGTCTCTCTCATCATTAATGTTTCTATCTCTCCCTCCCTCTCCCTTCCTCTCTGAAATCAATAGAAATATTTTTAATAAAGAAAAGTTAGAAACCTAGGTAGTCAGCAATAGGAGATTTAGTACAAACTCTGCTACTTCACCCACTGGACTAGAACGCAGCAGTTAAAAGGATTAGGGAATCATAGGGCTGGACCTTCCAATGCTTTTGTAGAGTTAAAAAAAAAAAAAAGCCTGCCTGATGTTGGCTCGATGGTTGAGCATCAACCCATGTACCAGGAGGTCAGGGTTCAGTTCCTGGTCAGGGCATATGCCTGGGTTGTGGGCTCACTCCCCAGCAAGGGGTGTGCAGGAGGCGTGTTGATGTATCTCTCTCATTGATGTTTCTATTTCTCTCTCCTCTCCTTTCTTCTCTCTCTAAAATCAATAAAAACATATTTTTTAAAGACATCAAAAAACATGTATAACATAATACCATTTGTGGGGAGAAATATCCCACCCAAGACGCCACATTTCCTTTGTATAAACATGTATCAACAGAAAAGCAACGAAAAATAAATGGAAAAATCCAAAATAAAGTGATAATATGGTCACTTTGAAAAGAAGGGAAGAGTAGGGGGAAGTGAGAGCTGGAAGAATAGGAATGCTCTGCTAAATGCAGATCCAATAATAAGAGAGACAGCAGTTTTATTCTCTGTCACTGTCTACTGCTTTTTATATACATAAGATAACCATCAACTCTGCCTGCCAATTTGTATCTCAGATCTGGTTGACCTTTTAAAGTTTATCTGAAAATACAAAAGGGGAAAAAGAACTAAAAACTGCATTATTCCTAGCTGCCAAGTTGATCTCATTCTGGCCCCAGAAAGAACCAATTAGAGCACACTTTCCAAAGTTGAAGGTTCTGAGATTGAGTTGTTGAGGAGATACCAGGCATTCTGTACAACTGTCATTTTTCTGCAGAAAAATTTACTTTTCATCTTAACATTTTATGTACAGTCGGCATGATCTGTTAAGAGTGTTAAAACAATCACTAAATCTCTTTCTAAGCGGAGAGACCTTTGCTGCTTCTGAATTTTGTCACAGTAGTTACACAGGCTACATGTCTTGCTTCACACCTTAGCTTGGGGAGTCGTGCGGGGGGCCCACATGATTCCTGCATGTGACAGGGGTCAGGGCTTGGGTAGAGAGCCAAGGGAGGTGAACACAGTTACCACGAATATTCCAGCTACTCTCCCACTGAAACACGGGAAACTCACATAACGAAATGCTAAAGAAATGAATTGGCACCAGCAACAAACAACTGAAATATTAATGGACAGGAGGACTCAGTAGAGTTAAGACAACTTTCCCAATGCAATCCCAATCTATAGATTCAATGCAATCCCAATCAAAATCCCAGCCGGCATTTTATAGAACTGATGAGCTGATTCTAAGAATTATACAGAAATGCAAAGGACTAGAACAGGCAAAACAATTTTATAAAAGAAAGACAAAGTTGGAAGATTTACAATACTTGATTTCAGTATTCCCCATAAAATACAATAATCAAGACTATGTGATAATTGGCATAAAAACGGGCATACACATCAATGGAAACCAACACAAACTCCAGGAACACATCACATGTAAACAGTCAACTGAATTTTAACAACTGTACCACAGCAGTTCCATGAGAAGAGGACAATCATTTCAATAAATGGTGCTGGATATCCCTATGGGGAAAATTTAACAACAAACCCTACCCCACAACACACACAAAAATTAACTCAAAACAGATCACAGATCAAAACATAAAAGCTAAAATAATCAAATTTCTAGGAGAAAATCTTCATGACCTAGGTAGACAGAGATTTCTCATAAAGGACACAAAAAGCACAAAAGGAAAACAGTGATAAATTGGACTTCATCAAAATTTAAAACCTCAGCAGTTTGAAAGAAACCATTAAGAAGAAAACAAACAGGCAAGCCACAGAGAAGGAGAAAAATATTCACAATACATCTGACAAAAGCCTTGTATCCAGAATATCCAAGAAACGGCAATACTTTTTAGGGACTTACCCTGTGCAAGCATCACTCTAAGACGCTGGAGCCAAGACTGGAGATCCTCCATCCAGGTGTCCAAGATCTGTGGCCTCGCAGGGCTCCTTACCCTGTAAGATAAGTAGGGTCAGAACTCCCAGCACCTGTGCTCTCTACTTTAGGACTCACTGAGGGTTACAGAATGAGCCTCTCTCAGGGCCGCCCAGACCCTGCATACCTTCGGCAGCCCACCTGCCCATCCAGGTGCAACTGCACCTTTATCATTCAGTTCCCTCCATCCCCTCAGAAGACAAAGCTGATAAAAGCGCCAGTGAGACTCGCATTTCACCTGCCAGTTAGTTCTGGGTTCAGCTCATGCAATGTTCTCTCGTTTGCGAATTTCTTTTCACTTGTTACAAGCCCGTCACTTCTGCACAATCATTTCAACAGCTCGGTGAACACCAAAGAAAGGAGAGGACAATAGAACCAATTTTATCAACTAGTCAGAAGCAGCGCTCAGTAATGCATATTTTAATTCTGAAAATGTTCGATGTATTTCTTCTTTTTCATTAGGGAGCTGCAGTGAGGTTTGCATGCTGACCTCAATCACCCCAGGTGCAGTGTCTCAGGGCTCCTGTTTGAGGGTAAATGCATGGCCTTCCCCACTCAACTGCCCAAACCTTGACATTTAAAGCAACTTGGTGAGCACAACTTCCTGGTATTTTTAAGTTTCCTGTTTGCCTACATACCTGCCTAGTGGGCTGTGGACGTTTTTAACGTCTCCGTATACCCGACCAGCATCACTGGTGCCAGGCGGCCAAGACACATGCAGCAGAATGCTCTGTGTGTAGCAAAAAAGCTGCAGACAACCCAAGGCCTAACTCCCAGAAACTGATTAAATCAATTGCGATAAAGCCACTCACTAGAAACCCATGCAGCTATCAAAGAGCACAGAGGTAACGTGCTCATGCACAGTATATTACAGTATACACTGCTACTATATATGTATAAGTTACTATACAATATTGTATTATTCACATTAACGAATAGAATGGAATTATATTTCATATATGCTATAATTTATTGTGATTATATTGTATTATGCACTACAAGCCGTTGTATGTTAACGCATCAGACATTAATTCATGAAAAATCAGAGTGCAGAGAACTGTGAAATCATCCCATTTGGCTGAAAATAAAGGGGCACCTTTGAATGCATAAACAGAAACATGCTTGGGACTCAGCCTTGCGCGCACAGCGTGGCCTGGAGGCCTTGTGGGAACCCAAGTTGCTGGGCTGCGGGTCACGGTGAGCGGGAGAAAGCGCGCTTCCAACGAGCCGCCAGGTGATGCTGCGGGTCCCTGGGCCAGCCCGGCAACCTGGGGGTAGGGGCGTTTGGGCTTTCAATTTCAGAAGCTTTCATTCCATTAGCAACACGGCTGCGCGCCTGCTCGGTGCAGGGCAGCCGCGGACGGACCAGGGGTTGTAGTAAGAGCTGCCACCATACCTCCGCCTCCGGGGTGCCTCGCCCGAGGCCGGTCGTCCGAGGTCGCGGAGAGACTGCCGGAGCAGGGTTTCGAACCCCAGGCTCTGCGACGCCGGCGAGCGTCCCGCCTGCTCCGAGTTCCAGACACGCCTCCGGACCAGGCCGTGGGGTCTCCTGAGACACAGCCCCGGGCGTGCGGGGGACGAGGGA